AGTAATCAAAATGTTGACGGACGTCACGAAAAACGTATATATTTACATCGTTTATCAACGGCATCACCGAATCATGGCATAACATCGATATCAAAAGACATTGTGTCGACAACTATCTCAAGTATTACGTTAAAATGTTAATCAGGATACCGCGCATGGAATCCGATCGATAGAATTGAATCATAGTTACACTAATATGCATCCGTTCTGAAGAAGTGCTTGTGTGAAGTAAGAAATTTTCTTATTATATGAGCACAGGTGCATACTGGTATAAAATTTTCTTTTTCGATCAATATGGCTGTGGCGCTGATACTTATTAATATTGTGCTGTTATTAACACAAAATAAAGTAAAGATCACATGTTGCATCAAAATACAGATAAAGGTATTTTCACCAAACTTTACTAAGACCAGTACCTTTTTATTGATTCTGACCAGTCCTAACACTAATTCCGGATACAGCAGAGAAAACTGATTACGTCTGATACAAAAGTTCGCAGAGCTTGCGGGTTGGACCACAGTGTCTACACTGTATCTGTGGTCACTACAGATACAGGATATACTAAGGAACAAACTAATATAATACTTTCGATTTTTGACCAAATATCCACCCGCATCCTCACTGTGGTCCAGTACTTTTTATTGATTTTGACTAGTCCTATACTAGTTCCGGATACAGCAGAGAAAACTGAGTACGTCTGACACAAAAGCTCGCAAAGTTTGCGGATTTTGAATAATTAAACATGTGATCTTTGATGCAAGGTCCCAAGGCTTGTAACATCCCTGATATGCATCCGTTTCGAACAAGTGCTTGTACGAAGTAAGAAATTTTCTTATTTTATCAGCATGGATACCAAATATTCTTTTTCAATCACTATGGCTTTAGCACTGATACCTATTAGTACTGAGCTTTTATTAATACAAAATTAAGTAAAGACAACTATAATAAATAAGTAAGCACTGTTTTCGTACCGTGCCGCACTACTAGTGCGGCAATTTTGGGTAGAATTATATCGGCACTTGCTCGGTACTGATATCAGTCAGTGACTGATACCCTGCCATACACACTGGCATTTTGTTTCTGTAGAATAATCACTACGGTATTGGTATAGAAAATAAAGAACATTCTACGACTTCTACAACAAAGTTTTGCGCACTAGCCCCAACGGAATATTCTTAAAAGACAATTCAAGAAAAGAAAAACAATTTGTCATTTGTCTTTGACTAAAATTATTGAATAAAAATATAGTTTGCCTTTTAAATGTCAAACAGATATCCATGTTATATTTTCTCATTTACTTTTTTAGCATTTTGAAGTTGTGCACTTAAATCGTTAACAGAATTTGAATATTTTTCAATTTTTTTATTAAATTTATTTCGAAAATTTTCATATTCTAACATTGATATTTCGAATTCGTCACATGTTGCTCGAAATTTTTGTAATTGTTGATGACGATCATTCTTCTCAGAATCCATATAATTTTTAATAATAGAACTATTATCTAAAGCAAAAACAAAGATCATCTAAATATCGTATATTTTCATCTTATCTTATTCACAAAATATGATGATCATGTACTTAAGATTTGTGATTATTTTGAAATTATTCATCTTTAAACTCCTTTTATACATTTCATATGGAATATAAGCGAACAAGTACAATCATACTGATGAATTTTACTAAAAAATTTTGGTTCATCAAAATCAATTAATTCGAAACCATTTGATTTGAATGTCTGAAAATAGCTTGATAATGAACGATGAAATATATGTAATGAAAATGATTCCCAGTCTTGTTCTTCTGGTGTTTCATCAAAATATGACCGTGGCCATTTGTACATTCTCATGCGACCATCTTTTTCCGGTACAATATCAAAACATGGATGTAAAATAACAACAACTAAACGACCGTTTGGTTTTAATACTCTTTTAAATGACTACAAAACAAAGATGGACTTTTGAAATATTCAATCTCAAACAAAGAAATAGACATGCCTTTATGACATCATCCAAATTAGGAGTGTCCATCAGTACATAGTTTGATATGATAACATCAATTTCATTATTTTTAATTGATTTTAATTCAGTTATTGAATCATGATATAATTCAGGCTTAGTTTTATCAGTTTTTATCAAACGATCAATATTTTGAGTGGCAATTTCAATCATGTTTGATGATAGATCAACGCCAATTGCACGAAAAACTCCTACATAAATGAGAGAGTAGTATATGTACTAGTATTTTCACTTCAATGAACATCTTAAATACCCTTTTCGATTAGTTTAACCAATAAATAACCATTTCCACATCCAGCATCCAAAACAGTCAAACCTTTAATATCACCAACATATTTCCACAAATAAGGATCACTCGATTCTTGTCGATTACTATCACCATCATCTCCAATCCATTTATTCCATTTAGATGCGTGTTCATTCCATCTTTGTTCAACTTCTGATAGTTCAACCAACCGTAATTCAGCCATATCGATATCTGTTGAATAAGATAAAACAAGACTATAGTTCTAACGAACATCGAGCACAAAATCTATTTTAGTTCACTACAATGTATAAATTTGAGGATTTAATTTTTAGTTGTCATATTTTCATCAATCACAAACACACGCAAAAAACCAGTTTATAAAACGGATAGGAAGAAAAAACAATTGTGTCATGCTTAAATGAAACAAATAACAGAAAAACAAATTAGACATAAAGGAAAAAAAACTAAATAACAATATTATTATTATTATTATTATGCTCATTGCAAAACAGTTTAAAAAATTGAAACGAAACAAGAAAACGAATGTCATTCAATTCATTCGTTAAACAAAAACAGCTTATTTATTATTAACATTATCGCTAAAAGCGAAAGGTATCTAATTCAAACACAAAGATATTTGTAGAAATATGAGATAAAGATGAGATTATTGCACGGCAAACAAGAGAATAAAATGAAAATTAGATGCTGTTCAATGTAGATTTTCTATCCGGAAGATGAAAGCATCATTTTATGTAATTGACGATATTTTGTGCGTTCATCGACGAGTTTTTCTAAACAGATATAACTTAAAATTAAGATGTATCTTAAGTGAAAAATAACGAAGATTGCATAAATAGTTTGTATTCTCAAACGTTCATTTCTTAACTCAAGTCTGAATGGTGTGTAACTGTCTACTTCTTCTTTTTAGCTCAAAAAATCGACAATGGATATTACCTTTTAATTTATCAACCGTTTGTTGTAATTTTGCAACTTCAAATTCGCTTTCATCTGTACGTTGTTGAGCCTAGAAAGGTCAAAGAAATTGATTTGTAAAGAAAGGTTTATAATTATCCAAACAGTCTTTACGTTCGCGTGGAATCAATAGGCAATACAGACAAGATTGTACATATAAAATTTTACTATAGTAAAGAATTATATACAGCAACGGCTTAGTTTTTCGCGCTGTCAAGTGTGAAACTGACTAATTATGGTGCATTGTTATTGGAACTAACTGACTAGTACTGACTGACAAAGCAGTTATGCTAGTTTTCTTCTACACTCTACACTTGATTTTTAACAAAAATTTAGATCACTATTCTAAAAGGCCGCTAGTCTTAAACAATGATTAGCTAGTTTGTGCAGCTAATTAACATGAAAAAATTCAACATACCTCCTTTAATCTCGACATTTTTTCATTAACAATTCTTCGATATTCTTCTTCCCGACGCTGGGACTAGAAAAAAAGAAATATAATGAGAGTTCATAGTTTTTAAAGTTGAAACTAAATAAATAGACTAAATATACCTTTTCTTCTGCTAATATCAGCGATTTCATTTCAATTTGGGCTTGACGAATTTCTCGTTCTAATGAAACTATACGTCTAAAAATAATATAATACATTAATTCTACATTTTTCTTGGCTTACATTTAACACGAAGTCTATGAGTGTTGGAATTTATCATAGCATACGGTAAATCTGTTCACTACTTTCTTTGCTGCTCTTCTTCTCCTAATTTAGCGTTTGCAGTACTGTAATCTATTTCTAATTTCTAATATTAGAACGCTTATTAGAACGGTAAGTTGTCCATTGTGAACAGCTAAACTGGGGTTGTTAAATCACTTGAGTTATCATACTTGAAGGTACATGTTTCTTGACAGTGTGTACAATGTGAAGTCTGAGAGGAAGGAGGCTTTTTACTGTATAAAATTTTTTTATTGATTCTGACTAAGGAGTAACTTCCGTAAAATGTGTATTATCTCCTCTTAATTAGAATCGCTGTCTTCTAATCATCCGTCGTGGAAGGGTTATACTAAGAAACTGTGTGCAAGAGTGTTATTCAACTTTTTACAGATTATTTATTCATTTTTGTTTCGTCATTAAACTTACATAAAGAACGAATTTAGACTCTTTCACTCTGCAAAATAATCATGAAATCTGGCGAAGTCTTACACTTACTGATCAGCTAATGTTGATCGATGTTCGGCATGTTCTAAACGTTCTTGTAAATTCACCATTTTCTTTGATGCCTTTTTAACAAAAAACAAAGATAAATAAAAGAAATAGACTACTAAAAAATTCTTACTTCTTGAAATCGTTTATCTGTTTCTATACTACTTTCTTTTGCACGACGTAGATCATCTTCTAATTCAATTTCTTTATCTTTAACCATTGTCAATTTATTCTCCAAATTATTGCATGCACTAAATTGGCAATCATTACAGAATTATAAAACATCACAAAGACACATGCTTACTATCTGGCTGCTTCTGCTACTTTGACAACATCTAACCACTGTGCGTCTACTTGTGCAACTCTTGACGTTGTATTATCAAGATTAACTTCAATTAATTGCATTTGTCGACGTAAATGACTGCCTTCTGTTTCTGCCTAAAACGTAGTTCAAGAACTATTCTAGGGTTTTTCCTTTCATTTTTCACATACCTCGATACGAGCTGTTGATTCTTTGTCAAGCTGATTTTGACAATTGCGTAATTCATCTTTCGTTATTTCCAAATTTTCGAATATATTTATAATTTTTTCACGAACAGTTAAAGGAGGCTGTTGTTGTTGAAATGAAGCATCGTTAACATTATTTGAAATTACTTGCGAAACGTCGGTACTTTTATAAGCAGCACTAGACATTTTCTATCTAAAGTCTACAAAAAGCTTAGAGACAGTAATCTCCGTGCACTTGACAACATCACTATAATTTTCTATCAAAAACACATGAAAATTTATTAACGGTCGGCAAAATTCAGTACTTATTCGACAATGAATTTGACAAAACATCACAGTCTATCGCTATTTAGAATTTTATTTCTCTTTCGGTGAAGTTTAATAGTGTTACGGTTTAGATGATTTTGTTCAATATTGGATACTTAAACTACGTTTCTTATAAAGTAATTACAGTAAAAAGGCTAAGTTTTTAACTGAAGTTAATCCCAATCAACGAATGTGCCTTAGTTTGTCTCTCAAACATGAAGTTAGACATCCAACTAAAATCATAATTATGTCGAACTCTAGACATACTTTAGTTGAAACTTCCGAGAAAGTTAAACCGAGTGGATCATTAAGATTGTCAAAAATTTTGAGACTTAACTTAGATGACGAACTTGTTTTTACCTTAGAATTTTTGTAAAACAGCGTTATCTTTAAAAAAGAATAGTCATTCATTCATCATGTAAACAAAATCGTTTGTCCAATTGGATGTCGATATTAGCCACCTATAAAGTGCATTGCTGCATAATGAATGTTTTAAGATTGTGTTGCTAAGGGATGATCATTACCGTTATAGTCGAATGAAAGTGTCTCTGACAACTTTTGGAGGAAACGTAGAAAAGAGTATTCGACTTCTGAATTATCCCAGCGCTCAATGGTAACGTGATATCCGTCTCTAATAGTCGCTAAGAAAAGAAATTCATTTCTTTCTTAGCAAAAGCTAGATTCGGTTCTTGAAACAGTTCACGCTTCCAACCAGTACACTTTAGCCGACGAATAAGTACCAACAAGTAGCAGAACGTGTTAAATAGTAGCTCGTAGAATTCGCCTGTTGTCATGACTTAATTGATTAAAACTTATTCATTTCTGTTTTAGAATGTCTGATTCAGACCCTAACACACTTTCGACATCTCAGGAAGGCGGTATGTTAACTCGCTTTTTATCTGCATTCAGTCTTCTCTGTAAAACTATTTAATAGTGCAAAGCTATGATGTTAAAAGCATCAAATTTCGTATGTAATTTGAATTTTGCTCGATATATAATAATACTTTTATGAATTGACTGATATTCTTTTGTCTTTCAGGTGAAGAAAATGCGACATTTCCAGTTTCCGACTGTATGTATCTATAAAATAATAAATTATTGATTAAAAATAAGATCTCTGTTTTAGTGCCATACGTTGGTGACAAAGAAAAGCCAGGGGAGGCTATCAATGCTACAGGATCCGAATTTGGTAAAATAGTATAAAACATAAAATTTTCAAATTCATTTTGTTCGTTTTTATTTAAAGAATCTCTCGGTAGCCCAAATGAATCGTTATCTTTAAACAGTGGTGCAATATCACGTGCTGCACGTCACACTGGCGAATCACAACTAGATGAAGAATCAGAACAAGAAGTACCAGATCAAAAATCGAGTGATGTCGATGTTGGACAAACAGCACACGATATTTCGGTCACAGAAGGCGCTGATGAAATTGTTAAAAAGCATCGAAAAGAAGAAAAATCATCACGCTTACCAGATGATTATTATTATGATATAGAAAAATTACAAGCAAAACCGATCACAACAAATGAAGAAAAATTTCCTCTTAATACATTGTGCATGTAGTATCCTTTTTTTCTAAAATTTAATTTTGTCTACACGATTTAGAATAAAAAACAGAAGTATTTCTTTAACATAACAAAAAGTCGATCATTTGGATATGATTGTAATAAACGTGGAAATTTACATTTGCTTGATAATAAAACAATTATGTTTACAGCTGGATGTTATGTAGAACTTATTGACTTACCAAGTGGAAAACATAAATATATTCGAACATCAGGTGGTTACAGTGTTGGAGCATTAGCAGTACGTCAAAAATTAATCTTCATCAAACAACTATCACTCTAAATATGATTATTTCATTTAGGTCCATCCAAGTAAACAATATTTTGCTGTTGGGGAAAAAGGAGATATGCCAAGTATAGTGATTTATGAATATCCATCATTAAAACCGTATAGAATGTTGAAAGGCGGAACGCAACGAGCATTTGCTTATCTCGATTTTAGGTATAATTATTGAAGATCAGTCACGAGGAAACCTATGGACATGTCTGACTCCAATGTCGTTTGTTCATACGTCAATTGATGGAGGGTAGCGAGCTAGTAAAAAGCTTAAAAGGATATCTGCCGACGACTCTTGAAGACCCTGTCTTCTGGAAAACTAGTTTTTCAGAAACTCTAAAAAAACAATCGAAACTTTTCTTAATGAGGCATGATCGTAGCCCACAAATTTCTGATTAAAATAAGACATCTCCCAGCTCTACGCGACCTTTCTTTGCAAAGTTATAGAATTTACAAGAAAAGCCCTAAATTAATTTCTTCTTCCCAGGTCCATGATTACGACCGTCCTATACGTCGTATACGTCAAATTACGTCGTCGTAATTTGACGTATACTATAGTATTTCATCGTATTTGGACGTAAATCCGGCCAACCTATTACGTCAGCCGTTACGACCGTTGTATTTGAACGTAAACGACGTCGTTTACGATGGACGTAATACGTTGGCCGGGTTTACGTCAAAATACGACGAAATACTATAGTATACGGTCGTGAATCTTTGACGTGGGTTTCTGTAGCTTTGAGCTGACCATGAGCATTTAGGGCTTTTCTTGTAAATTCTATAACTTTGCAAAGAAAGGTCGCGTAGAGCTGGGAGATATCTCATTTTAATCAGAAATTTGCGAGCTACAATCACGCCTCATTAAGAAAGGTTTTGATTGCTTTTTAGAGTTTTTGAAAAACTAGTTTTCCAGAAAATAGGGACTTCAAGAGTCATCGGCAGATATCCTTCTAGGCTTTTTACAAGCTCGATACCCTCTATCAATTGAGGTATGAACGAACGAAATAGGAGTCAGACATGTCCATAGGTTTCCTCGTTAGACTCTTTCTCTCAATATACATCATTAATTTATTTTATTGTAGCATATTAATAATAATATAATATAATTTTTATTTTAGTTCCGAAGGTGATTTATTAGCATCATTAGGTTCAAATCCCGATTTTATGTTAACAATATGGGATTGGAAGGATGAAAAAATTTTATTGAGAAGTAAAGCATCATCACAAGAAGTATTCAAAGTATCATTTTCAAAAGATCTAAAAGGACAACTGACAACAGCCGGTATTGGACACATTAAGTAAGAATATTTCATGTCTGTTTTTTTTTTGTTTCTTATTCATATATCTTAACTATTAATCTCATTCATATATTGATTATAGATTTTGGAAAATGGCTCGAACATTTACTGGATTAAAACTTCAAGGAGAATTAGGACGTTTTGGTCGAACAGAAATATCGGATATTGAAGGATATAGAGAATTACCAGATGGAAAAGTAAGACTTTTTCGAATACATTATTTCAATATTATCACTTAGCTTAACATGTTATTAATATTCAATTGTCTAAATTCTACCATTTATCCATCTTAACTGATAATATGATGTATGTTGTGTACACAGTGAAGACTGAAAAATAAAAATTCGAAGTTAATTTCAATCTATTATTTGCATTGTACACAACAAAAGAATATCGCATCCATTAAAATTTAAAAACATTTGATATATATCAAACAAATAAATTTAATTTGATACTACGAATAATAATAATAATTAAATAAAATGAAAATAATTTAGAATTAAACATAATATTTGCCATATTTATATTATTTAATCGTTGTCCGTGTTGTTTATTAACTAGTCGTCGTTTTTTTTCTTCTTCTTCTAATTGTTTTAATTCATCTAATATTTGTGTATGTGTTTTCATACAATCAATCTCACATGTTATATTATTTTGACATATTGAATTTGATAAATTTTCTAATTGAATTTTATTCATTAATGGTGGCAATAGACAATCATCAAAATCAATTGTCCAATGTTTTGGTTGTCGATATGCTTTATATAAATCACATGAACATATTAATCGTTCATTTTTTCGTAAACTATACAATAAATTTTCTGATGTTGTCATATTTAATGAACAATAGGATAATGTTTGAAATTGATTAGAATCCATTGATATTAAATCTAATTTTAATGATGTATTACAAAATGTATGTGTATAAATTGTTGATAATTGATTTTTATCTAAATCTAATGATGTTAAATTTGTCATATTTACTAAAGCAAATAATGTTAAACTTTGAATTAAATTTTCTTCTAAAGATAATATTTTAATTGAATTTGATTGAATTATTGGTAATTCTATTAATTCATTATGATCTAATTTTACGTTAATTAAATTTGTTAATTTTTGAAAAATTAAACCATTTAAATCTTTTAATTTATTTTCATTTAATATTAATGTTTCTAAATTAATCATAGAATTAAACATATCAATATTTAAACTTTTTAAATCATTAAAACTTAAATCCAAATATTTTAAATTTGAACCATATATAAATTTGTTTGATATAATACTTTTATTTATTGAGGAAATATTTCTTAGATAAAGTATTTCTAATGATGACTTTAATTGTTCAAGAAGACTATCAATATCTAAATATTCAAATGGATTATTGCTTAAATCTAATGTAGATAAATCAGGCGTATGAACAAATATTTCCGATTGAATTTTTGTTAAATTATTTGATGATAATATAAGATCATTTAAACCAATAATATCCTAAACAAAATACACATATACATTAAAAAAAATAAAAAACAAAAGAAAATAAACAAATGATTAAAATTGAATGAGAAATATATTTAAAAATGAAAATATAGAACCTTGAATGTTGATTCTTGTATTCGAATTAGGTAATTTGATTTTAAATTTAAACGTTTAACATAGAGTTTAATAAATTGACATTTTATTAATAAATTAATTTTATTATTTTCAAAATTAATTTCATACCATGTTGTACTACTAGTAATTGTTGGTATACTTGTCATATTTGAATTTGTACAATCTAATGTATATTGATGATGTCGAAGACGACAACGACAACTATCGGGTACAGGAAGATTACACCAATGATCGTTTGATTTTACATAGGGAACAATAATAAATAGATTGTGTACAATGACAGATAGTATTGATATCCACATTTTGTTTTTGTTTTCTGAAATAAAATTAAACATACGATACATTTGATTATTAAATTTTTCATGTTAACAATTTAACTCAAACATGATAGTTGATGATGACAAATATGTTGAACAATTCTATATGTTTTTGAAGTGTGCAAAAAATTTTAAATAGTTTTAAGTTTTACAATGAAAAAAAACAACAATCGTATACCGTACACATTTTTTTGTACCTTAGAGAGTATTTGTGAAACGGAGATAGTTCTATTAAATACAAAATGTATAGTACATGATCTATGGAATAATGGTGTAATATATTTATAATTTACCGTTATTCTACACCTTGATGAAATCTTTCTCCCTCTATCTCTTCTTCTCTTATTTTTCATTGTACAGATCAAAAATAGTTAAGACTTAGTGGTGGTTTGTGTTGTATTTACCCTCTCTATTTTCATCAATATATCAATTTCGAAACAGGAATATATAATAAGACTGATATATTCTGTTGAGGTTCCAGTAAGAGAAAAAAGAAAGAAAAAGCGGTTTTCTTTCTACTATTGTTTGTGAAACACTTCTTTTTTATTATTACTTCCTTCAAGACAAGACTTCTCTTGGAGGAATATTGTTTCATAAGGGAAAGAATAGACATAATAGCCAAATGGATAACAACACACGAGTATATATTGTATATATATCTGTTTGATAAGCGAGTATAGCAGCAAATTGGCTTGGTAATATGAAAACATTGTCATTCAATTTAATTCATGTTCTTCTAAATAAATATATGGACAAGGAAGAGAAAAGAGAGAGTATAAAACTGCTACGAAGAACATAATACGATATTGTCACACTCGATATGTATTGTTGGTTTATTTCGAGTTTTTGGTGTATAACTTACATCATTATCAGGAAATGACAAAAATTAAAAATATTAACAATGTACAAAACATGTAGATGTGACTAGAATGAAAAATATATGAATATCGAAAAGAGAAATAAAAACAAAGACAGAAATAAAGAAAAGAAAACTTTTGAAAACATTTGATCATATAATCTTGCAACCGTCTTGTCCATCAAATGTTGTTATATATGATCAATCGAAAATACATAAAATCGGTTATTCTCTTTGTCCCATCATCTTATCCATCGGTGCCTATAATTACAATTTATCAAAATATTTATCCAGGATATTAACGGTTAATCGTTCAACATCATCATCATTTTCATTCGTCAAAGATTCGTTTGAATTTGTGAAATGAATTAGAAATATGAAACATAAAAACAACCAAGTAATATGCAGTTTTTATGTGGGTTCATTATATACGAATGTATCTGTTAATGAAGCTATTGATATTATACTAGATATGTTATACAAACCAAAGACACCACCCAAAACACCATTCAATAGACAAAAAATGAAACGATTATTATAATTAGCTGCGAGTAATGTGCCATTTAGATTCACGAAGAACAATTATGTTGAGTGTGATGGAGTAGTTATGGGTTCTCCTTTGGGACTCATACTAGCTGACTTTTTTATGGCTAAGCTAGAAACAGGAATTAATCGTTTCTCCACCAACAAACCCTCACTGTGAATATGATGATGTATACTCACAACTAATAAAAATATCAATGGTTTTCACAACGAATTAATAACATGTGAATATAACATTTACGGTTGAAATGGAAAATAATGACCAAAAGGCCATTTTTAGATGTGCTGATAATAAGAAATAAAAATAATAACAATTATGAAACAACCATCTATCGGAAGCCAATAAATACAAACCTTTATTTATTATATGAAAGTAATCAATGTCGAAAATATAAACTTGGCATATAATTCTTCATGCTATCTGAGAAGGTGAAGTTATCGTTAAACGATTACTACCACAACAGCAAACATTGAATAGTCAACAACAAACAAAGAAGAGAATTTATTCAAAATTAACTGAGCTTATTATGGTCATGAATCAACTATCTTAGCTGGACAAATGAAAAAAACTATTTAATAAATTATTGCCAGGTATACAGGTCAATATTGCACAGTGGCGTAACTACGGGAGCGGGCATGACCCAAAGGAATTTGGCTTTTGGCCCAATACAAAATTTTTTTTGAGTGTTCGGTCCAAAGCTTCTCTTTCGCGTACCAATTCTGCACAAAGTTTGTTATAGAAAAAGTGGTGACATAAAAGCGAGATACAAATCCAGAGTAAAGCAGCATGTGTTTATTCTTTATTTTTTTGCACGTTCATATCTTCTCATATTAATTCATTTTAAAACATATTGATCATAATGAGCAAAAACTTCACGATGTTTAGACTTTGTTTTTTAGCAGATGAGAACTTCACAAAAACTTTCGCTCTTATTTGTTTTATTCATGATGAAACATGTTTCGTTTCTTACGCATAGAACACTAACAATCTGCATAAAAAGTGTTTAGGTGGTTTAATAATAGGATTTTTCTGTACAAAAAGAATTAATGAGAATATACGCACATTCTTGAGCCACGCTAACTCGGAACACGGAAAATGACGGTATCAGAACTTGCAACAGTCGAAAAAATTTCCTGCCCAAGCAGGAAACATTCGGTTCAGCTAGGCTCACCAATTATTTGTTGCACTTTATGAACAACGGTTCAAAAGTCTAAAAATCCTGTTTACGCTACTTTCATTGCATTATGTAAGACATTTATATTTTAAAATTATCTTATTATCAGTACAAAAAGAAGATTGATGAAACAAAATAATATAAGAAATTAATATATCAAATACCGTGTAAACATTGTGAAAAATCGTATTTTGGTGACCTGCCCGATTTAAATCCACACGTATGACTGAACATAAAGGTGATATTCGTAATATGAAAAGTATAGCACAACATATAATACAAAATCAATATCGATTCGAACTTAATCAGGTGCAGATGCTATTGTTGAAATTCAATTGGAAAACGACGAACAAAATAAAGGAAAGTTTATTTACGCATGCAAGTCACGGAAATTCAATTAATGATAAAAGTATTTGGATGAAAAATAATTCTGTCTGTAGTAAAGGACAGATTTTTCGTTCTTCAGGAGATGATGTTCTTTGAAAATTGATCAAATCATACGATGGTCGCATATTCAAAAGTTTTCTTTTCTTTATTTCTGTCTTTGTTTTTATTTCTCTTTTTCGATGTTCATATATTTTTCGTTCTAGTCACATCTATATGTTTTGTACATTGTTAATATTTTTAATTTTTGTCATTTCCTGATAATGATGTAAGTTATACACCAAAAGCTCGAAATAAACCAACAATACATATCGAGTGTGACAATATCGTATTATGTTCTTCGTAGCAGTTTTATATTCTCCTCTCTTTCTTGTTCCACACTGTTACGGTTATATGGAGAAGATGATTTTCTTTTCTTTTTTTTTTATCAACATATCTTTCTCTACAAGAAGACTTTTAGCATTATCAACATATATTCCACTAGAAAAATATTAGACGTATACACTGAAGGAAAAACTTCTTCAATTTATTGTAAATAGAGACACTTGTAAATATATATAACGAATACTATAATAACAATGTCTAGATATTGAAAACATATTTAGTAACAATATGTATATATATATATATATATGAGTAGGTGTTGAGACACAATATTTATTATTTTTTCATAAAATATATTAATAAATATGTTATGAACATCGCTATATATATCCAACTAAGAATCTCTTCAGTTTTCTTGTTCGATAGAGGTTACTTAAACCCTAAGAAGAACTTTCGAAATTTTGTGTAAATTTTTGCTTTTACAGTCATCGATTGCGCATGAGTACAAGTTATCAAAACATCTTAAGTTCGAAGGATCACTAAACGTAATACAGTTGTCCACTTTGTTATTGACATTCTAATAATTCTTTCAAACATCTTTCTTTTTTTATTCGACTAATGTACATTGCAACTGATTTTCATGACTTGTTCTTTAGTTGAATAAGATCGCCCTACATATTTCTATGATGTGTTCTAATATTAACTGTTAACTACATTCAAATCTTTTCTGTAGGTACTATCGGGAAGCGAATGGGGCAATATGTTACTATGGTACTTATTTAAATTCAAATTTCAATGATTTACTCTAATGTGTTATACTGAACTTCATTCTTAGGGACGGTGGTCTTATCCAGATCGAAGTATGTAGAAAAAAAGGAAAACCATGCCATAATGGTTCCATTCAACAAATTCTGTTACATGAAAGTGATATATTTACAGTTGGAGAAGATGGCTATATTAGAGTAAGTTTTCTCGTATATTCAGACTCTTTTATCACTGAATTATACAAATATTGTTAAGGTATGGGATTTTGAGACAATCGATACTGCCGAGGCCGTGGAAGAAGGTGGAAAAATGGAAATTGAACCGTTAAATGAACTCAAAGTTGGTACTGATAGTAAATTAATGGGTATTACACATGGTGCAGACAATGATATGGCTCTTTGGTTTGCACAAGTAAAATCTAATTTTTATTGTAAATCGTTAAATTTTAAACATCCATCTTTTCTCTCTCTAGGATGCAAATGGAAACGTATGGAAACTAGATTTATCTTTTTCCAAGAATAGTCTTGATCCCGAAATAGTTCAGTCATTTATGTCAGGTGCCATTACCGGACTTGATGTCTCAACAAGCTATGACATATTTGCTGCATCAGCTGGAAATTGTAAGTCAAAACAAAAAATTAAATATTATTTTTTATAAGTAATACTATTTTTTTATTTAGCTGTTCGAATAATGCATACATTCACTCAAGATGTACTGGCACAACGGATATTTAACAAAAAAACGACCAGTCTCAAATGGATTCCGAGTGCAGTAAGTAATAATAAATAAAAGTACTTTAAAATTTATCATCTATTTTTCTTCTTTTCTTCTAGGTGGATGAAAAATCGGATGGAATTTTTCTAGGATTTGAAGATGGTGTTGTACGTTTTGTTCGTTTACGTTCAGTGACAAATAAAAGTGAAAAAAAATTAGATTTTGATATTCGATTGAGTCAAGTTATTAAACCACATACAAAGAGTGTTACATGTATTGCACTTGAAGTATCCAATCGTTGGGTGGCAACAGGCGTACGTAAATTTTATCACCTTTTAAATATTAATAGAAATTATTTTTTGAAAAATTTTATTTTAAGAGTGCCGATGGTACCGTGTTCTTTTTCAATTTTTCACCAAAAGGTTTGACTCCGATTGGATTTGTCAATACAAAAAATGCTGTCACCTATATGACATGGACACCGTCGCATTACGTATACTATCTTCTATTATTTGATTTTCTTAAATAAAAAAAGAATTCAAATGTATTTTAGGCAAAACCTCGTTTAATGGTTTGTTTAAACAATGGAACTGTGCTAGAATATGATGCACCTACTGGAAGATATGATGCAACAACATCTTATTCAATTGAATCTCAATTAGCCGTGAGAATATTTAAATTTCGAAGTATTAAATCAAAATTAAGAGTATGTGTTATCTTGTGATTGATTATTCGATACAATTTGAAAGACAGTTATAAATTCTCGATATCTTTGTAGCATGAAGAAGAATTGGAACGCAAAAGAAAAGAGGAAGAAGAACGACAGAAAAAACTTGAAGAAGAAAGACGATTGAGAGGAATTGAGAAAAAAGATAAAGGTAGATATACAGGTCATTCCATTTATTTTGAAATGATTTGCATGGGCTTTTCCTTCGTTAGCCACTTACACAGATCTCACGATTCTTATATCAGTATACTCCACTGCCACTGCCACCGCAGATGTTGTCATAGTATTTACATTTTAGGTAAATGAATGCTTCATAATAAAATATCTGATAATACCGAAGGGATCGTCATATATCTTTCGACGGCAAAATAGTCATACTTTGTGGTACAACAAGAATTATTTGAAATGAATCTGTGTGCATCAAAAAATACCATTAGTTGTATCGCTAACAATGTTGGAAAACAGTGCCAATTGAATTTAGCAAAA